GCTCAGTCGGGGGGCCAGTTCTCCTCTGGCCAGACGAAACCAGCAGTTCAATTCCAGGCTGCAGCAAATTCACATTGTGCAGAGGACTCAACTGGCTCCTGTGGTCTTGTCCTGGTGGCCGTCTGAGACAAGGTCTTTACTGGGGATCTTATGTACGTAATAAAAATACCCTGTAATTGTACTTTTGGTATACTTAAAAGTTCGCTAAATTGGAACAACTAATTTTGTGCTTAATGCAATTTAATTGTGCAGAAGTAGTGCTGAAGTCCAACTAAAGATAGAAGATTTGATTGTGCTACAGTGGAACTATTGCAAGTATACTTTAGATACACTTTACAAATCTTGCATTTAACGATCTTTATTATTCAAAGATCATACAATCCTCATCAATAGTGACAATAAAACACATTTTAGCCTTAATATTAAGAAATGTGCATTGTGCACAAGTAGTACTCCAAATAAAGTTTAATTATAATTTTTATATCAGTAAGTCTCGAGCGATACGTCAGTAAATATGTTAAAGGGGTCATATGATGCTTTTTTAAAGATCATTATTTTGTGTATTTGGTGTAACAGAATATGGTGACATGCTGACCCCTTTAATAGATTTGAATTCTACTTAGTATGAAATAAATGTATTTTAAATATGACTTTTTTACTAGATAGAAGGCACTACTAGAAGCATCATATTAAAAGTAACCACTAAATCTTTCAGATTGCTTCAGGCATTCTTCATTTGTAAACTGCTTTGCATAAAAGTGTCCACAAAACGAATACATTTAAATAAATAATGAAAAGCTTCCAGGAGATGAGACAAAAGGAAGCAAAATGTACGATGACTGTGCTGGATATGTCGAGTACATAACTGTTTAGTGATTGGTGGCAAATTCGGTGCCCCACTGACAGTTGTGATTACAGATGGATCTTCATACAAACTTCACACCAATTCACCAAAATGTAAAATAGTTAGTGCCACATGAATCATGTTAGATGCAGTATTTTATGGTCATACTAACCTATAACCTGCTAGAATGTTCATTAAGGTAGACTTCCCGGCCCCTGAGGGTCCCATGATGGCCACCAAAGCACCGCTGGTGAAGTTCCCAGAGATCCCTTTCAGAAGGGTCTTGTAACCTGACACAAGGTGGAACAGAAAAAGAAGTGCCCCTGTGAGAAACCTTCCACAGTCTGGACAATAAGCACAATGAACAACCTGAGCCGTCCTGCACAATTGTATAATGTACCTCATTCAAATTCTCCTGCTTACATAATGGTCGGTCTGTGATTGGAGGTGAAAAGGGGTATTTATTTGTTCACCACTGGGTTTCTGAAATTTTCCAGGTGAGTGAACCTGTTTGCCAGTGTGTGTACCTTTAGATAAACCCTGTTCTTACCTCTAACTGACCTTTTTGCTTCTAACTTTCAAAGAATAAACAGCTGATGCTATAATGCTTTCTCCAATATCCATCAATTTTCTTTTGTCAAGATGTATAATGCATTCTTCACCATCTTACAGCAGCTTTGTGAGTAGATTTGTAAGCAACTGAACAGTTTTAGGTTCCTGATTAATGTACACTTGATTCAAAGAGTTTGACACTTAAGGTCTACTTAAAATATATGAATTTTATTAGCCCATTGGTTCAATTTTGTTGCATTAGGCTACAAGATGACTGAATATCAGGATATGTCATCACATTATATGGCTTTATCACAATGGAAAAAAATAGAGATGCACCAATCAATCGGCCAGGGATCGGAATCGGCCGATTTTCCTCATGATCGGCCCGGATTGGTGACCGGTCGGTCAGTCTCACTTCTTTCCGATTCTGAGCCGATCCGTTTCGTTACCAGCGGCACAGGCAATAACGTCAGCCGCGCATTCTCACTCTCATCTCTCCGACGACCCCATCTCTCTCACACACATCTCATTCGCTCCGGTTAAATAGTGCTTGTATTGTGCATTATTTTAGTCATTCCCGCAGGTTTTGCGCACCACTACTGATCTATATTAGTGGAGCGCACAATCCGCGCTCAGTCTC